ATGTCACCTCCGAAATCTACGTATATACCGTATACTATGTCGTCTTTGTGACCTCCTACAATGTTGCCATCAGCACGGAGGTCAGATGATACGAAGGAGTGATTTTTTATATATATTTATCCATACAGTTCGCATCATTTTGCAAGTTAAGCAGTTCTGGTGACCGAAATTGCATTTTGACCAACACCAATTATGAGACCATGATGAAATTGTACCGACAAGAAATTACACTCAGTTTTAGAATACTTTATTAAACAAAACATTGAGCACAAAATAATGAAATTCTGAAATAAAATGGTCACTTCATAATGTATATTTAGATATAAAGTTGGAAAAAAAATCGTAAAACTTCTACTTCTTATTCGAAAGTTTCCGTAAATGTTTCAACTTAGAGTTTACCACTGCAACAGTTCGTTTCATATTAGTCTTCTGTATGAAACATTTTATTTGAGCGCCTGATGGATATATTTTCCTCTTTACGTATGAAGCGAAATATTTTTCTAAAGCATTGACTTCTATAACCGTCCATCCTAAAATTAAGGTTTTTGTCATCTATTAATTCGTTGTAACTTTCGTTTGAAGCTAAAATATATCAAAGGGATTTGACAGTTAAACTAATTAAGCAATAAATGGAGGAAAGATTCTAAATCGTACAAATCCTAAAGGTATAGAAATGTATTTACAATTGTGACCTTTTCGCCTCGTAGAGCCGTTATTGTAGGGCCCTGCCGACAAAAATATTTCTTCAGAAGTAACATGCACTGTTTTATTCACAACTAATGAACCATCATCGGCAGCTGAAAAACACAACTAAATTTCAGATTTGCCAATATATTCATTGCCCTATAGCATGATTATGGACGATAATTTATTTTTTGACACCATCCATATATATGATGTTTAAATTCAAAAGAACCTTTGCATTGATTTATTGTCAGCCCAATAGGAACTACCTGAACGCCTGAATTTTGCAAAAACACGTAGGTACGGCGAGAAAAATAATTGGACTAGACATCACTTCAAACAGACATTCATTTGCTCGCACCGATCAGAACGTATACTGTTTCAAAGTAGGAAAAATTTGCCCGTTTAACCCTTATTTTGATCCACAATTTATAAATGAATAAGCTTGAGGTGCAATAATCAAGCATTAAGTATAAAAAAAAATTAAATAACGTAGGACTTGTACTTACCGCTCAGCTATAACAGCTAAGTTGTGGATGACATATTATAGAAATGCACTAGTACAACACGGGTGTCTTTTACGAGCGTTTAATAAGATATCAAAAAGATTTGTTCATTCAATTTGAACAGTTTCTGTCTTTGCATTCTTTACGAAAAATATTTGTCAACTTTTTTTCCTGGTAAATAAGACATCAAATGCCATCCTGCCATTCCGAAGTTATTCAAATCATTTTTGTTATTAATACTTAAAAAATGTCAAACAATATTCAAGACTGAGCGTTCAACATGAAGATACATAATACTACGGATTGTTAATTTTACGTCGTTTTAATAAAATGTTAAATGTGTTAAATAATTTAACTAACATTTTATTTGTGCATCGAAATAAACTGATAATTTGGTATTCGAACTTGTTGTCTTATAAAGGCTTAATTTGTTTATTCTCTTATAGGAACGAAAAATCCTTCCTACTTTTGAATCGGGATTTTTAGCCACAATGTGAAAATAAACTTATGCAGTTCTTCGACAACAAACTTTCTTGAAAAATTATGGACGATTTTAAAGCACTTATGCGACTGCCCCGGTAATTACACTCAGTCCTTATATATTTTATTTAACACAACATAGA